AGTTCCCAGCTCCAGCAAAAGCAGTAAGTCATCAAACCATGACCCCCCTTCCCCATTCATCAAAATAAGCAACCCAGAATGGAAAGAACTGACATGTTTTCCTCCACTCTGGCCCATCAGAATTATTTCTTGTGTAAACATTTTTCAAGGTGGAGAGATGCCCGTGAGCACTTTATTTTTCCTAAACTAACCCTCATGGAAAAACAAAAGAAAAAGAAAAAATACTGCTAACCATGGACAGAAAAGAAGAAATAAGGGAGACGAGTGAGCAGTGGGTAAAGGGAGGGCCTGAAGCGTGGACACACAGGTGACTGGAAAGTTTTACAAAGACTGTTCCAGAACGAGCCCATAAGGAACAAACTCTCACAGCACATCCGTTAGAATGAATCACCCCTTTCAATGATAAAAGGGAAAACGGTACTGACCTTATAGAAATTCACCATGGAGAAACAGAGGAAAACTGCTTTTCCTTTAATAAAATACGTGCAACAAGAACAACTTAGAAGTTATTTCTTTAAAGTGGAAAACAGAGACAACTGTGACTCAGGAGGTAAATCATCTATGATGAATAGAATATCTTCTAATAAGGAAAAAATTTAGTCTATTCCCCAATAAGTTCTTCAGGGTTTCTGTAAACGCAAGGTTTTTCTCATGTAACAGCCCCTAAGCTTCTAAAGAACCCAGAGCGTCCGTAATGCAGAATCAGTCACAACTGCACATACCATGTGCATGTCATGGGTGTGCCATGTGCCATGAGTGCCATGTGACATGTGTGTGCCAGGTGCATACCATGTGAGTGACATGTGCGTGACATGTGGGTGACATGTACATGCCAGGGGCATGTGCGTTTCCACAGGTGCTGCTGTTTCAGATATTTTCATTATTCATGAAAGCAGGTGACACTCACATCTAAACTTGAAAAATAGAAAGCAATGATGCCTTTATACTATTTCAAATTATAGATATGCAAGATTTTGAGAAAAGAGAGAAAAAGGAGGCAAGCGCATCTCCAACAGACCCACACAATGCTTTGTCTTGTAATAGTGGCTTACAATAAATTAGGACAAGCAGTAGGGCTCCGGGACTTCTCCCCACAATCAGATTAGGTGAGATAAATATTTGACTCATCAATAAAGTCAATGGTGCTGCTAAAGGAAAGACAGCTAACCCCAAATCCCAAATGTCTCATAAAAGGGGAGAGTCCAGCACACATTTCAGGGCTCAGTAAACTGGCAGGACCAGGGAGGAAATCTTAGCCTGAGCTAAAGTACTAACAAGCCTTGAGCGGAACACAGTAGCCTGAACACACGCAACAGCTATGCTGACAACATGCACCGAGGTAAGAAACTTCACAGACTCGGACAAAAACGGCTGCACTGGAATAAATGCTAAGGTTTTGGCCTGAGTATTCACTAGTAAAAACACAAGTACTTTTCCTGGGCTATGAAATTCCTTAAGGCTTATACTTTATGATACACTCATCTAATTAAAAATTCCTCTTTGGTAGTCTTCTGAGTGTATCAGCCTTCTTGAGATCCTGCCAGCACAGACATCTCCTACCGCATCCCTGACACCACAAAAGCAGTGGATCAGATGCAAAACTCTACAGGAATCATTTCCCTGTCCTCCTATTCACACAGTCATTCAAAGCCCAGCTGATTTCCAGCACTGAACTCCGAATACCAGCCACTTCCATTGTAGTTGCACCTGGCTTTCACAGAAGATATACTTGGTATGGCTGTTCCAATTGTGATAATTGTAGATAAGCCTGTTTTCTAGATTACTATTAGTGAATTCAAAGAGTCATAAAGATGCTTTGGCTTACTTATACCACAAAGAGAATTACTCATTTAAAATAGGGAATATTTTCAAATGAGCTTAACTGGACTTTATTATTTTAGAATGTGAATTGAACGTGGTTATATGTAATTGTTTGAATTTAAGTGTGTAAGATTTCAGAAATACTGTAGGATACTACACTAAAATAATTTAGTGCAGATGTAGGAATAAAAAGTATGATCTTACGTAAGCCACCAACTCAGGTGTTCATGAGTCTCAAAGAAAATATTTGAAATAATTGAGCTTTCTGTTTCTAATGACAGTCAGGCTGACAAAATTTATTGGATCATCAAACTTTATAGTACAAGTATATGGATTTGTCATAAATTATAATTTTGCATATATCAGTCAAAGCACAAGGCCTAAATACTTGCAAACAAAATGCATTATTAATTTAATTGTCATAGCCTATTTAGCTAACTCCTACTACTATTTGCTATAACATGCAATGCATTAGAGTGGAGAATCAAATTCAAAACATTTTTAAAAACTGATTATACTGTCCTGGAGAAATTAAAATATAGCAAGCTTGCAAAAGTATAACCACGGCTTTAATGTTTTAAATAGGTAAGAAAAATGTTTAACTTAATTTAGAGAACAGTTATGCCCAGACTGACGGCTCAGCATGCTGATGAAGGGTTTCTTTGCTGCCTAACCCACTAGAGAAAGGCAGGAAGGTGAAATGGAAACAAGGAGACTTTGGCGTTTCTGGTGCTACATTATATCACTTAAATCTTGGTTTGCTCTAGCTACAGATGTCTAATGGGAAATTATACTGCTGCTGGAATCCTGGCATTCCCATGTAGTATTTTTCTGTAATAGGAGAGACTGCCATATAAGCAGACATCAAAAACAAGAAGTCCTCTGAAATAAAAAATTTTTTAAAGAAAATAACTATTCACTCAAAGGTGTCTGGTTTAGAGAAATGTTGCAGCTTGGAGTACTTAAAAGGTACCCATCTGGAGGTGGGTGTGCTTTCCCATTTGAGATTCATTTCTTGATGTTAGGACAAAAACTGTGTCAATATCTGAGAAGAGCTAACCATGTATCAGAGGTGAGAAATTCAATCTTTCTCCTGCCTCAGTTTTAATCTCCCTTTAAGTCCTTTATGTATTCAGGACTGAAATAACTATTAAATAAAAGAAAAGAACAAGTATCCTGGAATGTAAAGAAAAAGGTAAATAAAATAAAGACACAGTAAATATTTGATTCTCAAACTCATAATATATAGAGTATGTCTAGTATTTTAAGATGTTTAATACTTGAATACGTATACATACACACAAATATGTGAGGAGATTAATTTTTCACTATGAAACAGTATGAACAATTCTTCAATTAAAAAAAATTTTTAAGTAAAAAGCAAAATGATATAGTTAAATTAAAAAATGTTTACTATTTAAAAGTACATGTTTTCTTTCTACTACTTATAAAATCTCAATCGTTTTCATTCAAATTTATTTTGTAGTAAGAGTGGCCCAGACATGGTGGCTCACACCTGTAACCCCAGCACTTTGGGAGGCCAAGGTGGGTGGATCGCCTGACGCTGGGTGTTCAAGACCAGCCTGATCAACATGGAGAAACCCCATCTCTACTAAAAACATTAAAAAAAACATCAGCCGGGCGTGGTGGTGCATGCCTGTAATCCCAGCTACTCAGGAGGCTGAGGCAGGAGAATTGCTTGAACCCAAAAGGCGGAGATGGCAGTGGTCATGAGATGACGCCATATTGTGCCATTGCACTCCAGCCTGGCCAACAAGAGCAAAACTCTGTCTCAAAAAAAGAGTCAGAAAAATAACAATTCCATCATTTATTATTTATGAGATATTGAATAAATTATTATTGTATTTTCTAGGCTCTCTCAGGCCTTAGATCCATAAAATGGGAATTATAATGTATTGCTAACATGGTCAAAGAAGAATTAATTGAGATAATGCATATGAAAGCAATGGAAACACAACAATTTCAAATATGTTGTTTCTATATACTTAACACTTAATGAAATATAATTTTGACATGTCCCAAATTATTCTTTAAAAAATATAGTATGCTTTTAAATTTCAAGAATAATGCATTCCTAACACATTCAATGCCTATATTTTGGCTGCAATTATTGAATATAATGTTACAAAGAAAGACAGGGGAAACTAAACATATGGGTGCAAAGGAGGCATCCCGAGATCCCCAAATTTTGACTTGGGAGCAGTCTCTGCCCGCACTGCACTGCTAAAGAAAACCGTATGCCTACAGTAGAAAAGTCAAGTTAAATTCCCACAAACAGAGAAAACACTGCTAAGAGCATTTTGTATTTTTTAAAAAGACTATTAAACATTTACAAATATGACGGAAGACCTCAGGCTTCAGAGTAAGAGAACAAATTGCATCTTATTGACCTTTGAAAACAGTAAGAAAAAACTAAAGTTTCTGAGAGTATCTGTAGAATTTTGGATCCTACCTTGGAGAATCTGAGGGAAGCTGAAAATCCATCCTAAGGAAAGTGACAGTGCCCACACCAGTTTGAGTGAGCTGCACATTTTAAAGACTTAAAATATCAGAAGTAGCCATGCTCACCTGGTAGCTGACACTGCTATATTTCAGTTCACCTAATATAATTAAGCCTATGTGATGAAGCTAATTATGATACAGTAGCAAGAAAAAAGAAAACCTGGCAGTTGATGACACAGTAATTGTAGTGTTATTTTTCATGACATGGCAACTGTAGTATTATTTGGGGTATGACACAAGATGTATTTCTTTTTAATATCAGACTTTTGAAGTCTACAGTAAGAATTCAAAAATGTTATTTTAAAACCTCAAAAGAAGAATACATCATAATAAAACAAAGTTGAGTTTTACATATTTGTTTTAGCACGCTCAAATGCATTTACAGAAGGCAATTCCCTCCAATTTAATTCTTCTACCATTCCAAGGTTGTTTCACAAATTCAAAGTCCTCCAAATGCTTTCAACTACTTCTAGATTCAAGTTTTAATTGAAATATGATGTTAAACTTTTGTGCGACAATAGCATAAAATACAATATTCGACAAAAGCATACCACAAGTAGAACACGATGAACTGTGTGATAAAAGTTCTAGAAGTCATGTCATTGAATAAAGCTAAAGTAAAATTCAAATTGTATTTTTAAATGAATGAAAATTACCTTTCTTTTGGGGTGCCAACTCCATGCTTGCCTAGTAGATGAGTATTTAAGTGCTTCTTCATTACAAAAGCAACCCTAAAAAAAATAAAAAGTAATTATAAAACTAAAACTTGACTCTCCGCTAGAAATCTGTACAAAAACGACTTAAGAATAACATATACTTGCAAACTCAGCATAAAAAGAGTATTACAGTGGCAGTCTTGCTACATCAAAGCTTCCACACAGGTTAAATATACCGTAGGGCTTAAAAAGAAGAAACAGCTGCATGTCAATGGACAGCTCACTTTTTGACTTGGAAACACTAACAGTGAACAAAAGAGCACAACAGTAATTATAGTTCTCCAGTCACTGTCTTCACTTCCAGTTGGTACAAAAGATGAAGCAATACCTCACTATAACATGCACTGCCCCAAGGTCATCACACACTTTAATCATGAAATGAGTTTGAGAAAATGTCATTTTATTAAATATTTAGAGGACTATAAAAGAGAAAATGAATAGTTTTCATGGAGTTTCCTCTAAAATCATGGCAATAACTTGGAGAGAGGTTTTTAAAATGATGCAAATGGTTACTGTATCCATAGCACAAAAAAAATTGTATTGAAGTGCCTAGATATAAATAACTAAAACAAACAAATGTATTGCCCGAAATACTATCTTATACACAAATCAGCTTACTTAATACAATTTTGTTGACATAAATGTGAAATGGACAGGAATCAGCAGTACATGAATGCCATTCTCCCCTTGAACACAGTGCAGTATCGATTTAATTACGTTGTGCAATTATTTAAAACAACTTAGATCAGAAACATTCAGAAGCATCAAAACTAAAATGGCTCTCTTGATAAGCAGGAAAAAAAATTTACTGTTGTAACTTTCAGTGTAAAAGGGCTTGCAAACATTTTTGTTAATTATGTATTACAGCTGTCCTTCATAAAGTTAATTACTAATAGCTGAAAGGCAACAGAATCTATTTGCATATGTACATGAAAGACATGACATATGCAAAAATATGATTTTAATTAGCATTCTATGATATGAAGGGCTACAAATCAAATTGGCATGTTATAAGATTCTCAACATTAAACACTGAATTCATCTGGACATGTTTGCACAAATGAGCAACCTAAGACTATAAAGTACGGTATCCTTGCAGAAAAGACTTGTGACAAAAGCCAAAAGCAAAACAATTTTTTTTTAATGCTTCTTTTCTAATTTTCAGGTCAAATTAATTTTGTTTAATTTAATATAATATTAGAGGATTTCAGGTTTAAGGCCAAATGACCCTGACTTCTTTATTCAAATAATGCACTTATATACACTGAAAATAACAATCATCTATTTTATATATTAGGTAATAACAACTATGGACAATACATGCTTTACAACTATAAATAACTGGTACAAACATCAATCACTAAAATGAAATCATCACATATAAAACAACTGTGATAATATTAAATGCTGAGCCTAAAAAAATACAAGAAATTCTATATTTGTTACTGCTTGATTTTGACAAAATAACATTTTTCATTTCCTTAAAAAAGAACACAGTAATCACAAGTCCATTTAAGTCATAACTTCCCTACTGTCCTCCATTTTCCTATAATTAAAAAAACATAAAGCTACTATCAAAGAGCAAAGGTTAAAAACCCAAAGCTGCAAAGCACAGCGTATTTACATGACCAAGTATAACTTAAGAGATCCGAACTGAAAAACCACAGTGCAGTTTTTAACAGAACACAAAATTATTAATTAATACGTTTAGGTTTTGAGACTGAAGTAAAAATATTACATGGTACAGTGGGACAAATGAGAGTAAATAGGGAGAGAAAGCTTTCGCCTAATACAATGTCCTAACGTGCTGAATGTTTAGTGAAATAATAATTTTCATTATCATGGAGAAAAAAGGAAAAAGTTTTAATACTATAACACACCTCAGTTATGTTCAAATGCAAAATATTTACTCAACCAACACTGGACTTAAAATGAGTACTAATTCTTTAAGTTTGGCTTGACATACAAATGATTTAAAGGCCTCAAAATCACACTCAGTTAAAAAAAATATAAGCCGAGCATGACTAGCATTAAATTACTGACCAATATGGAGATAATATTGACAGCCATATGTAATTACTGAATGTACTCTGCACTACACTGTAACATTATTGTTTTAACATAACATTTTAAAATATATATATACATAATCTAGATAACACTATCACCAGAAATAAAACTAAAAGGATCACAAATCTGAAAGCTAGCCAACTGACATGCCTTGCTCCCAATAAATCCTCATTCTTTCATGCCTGATTCCCTGTTTCATCGCGTTTACTGATCACTTACTACATGCTAGCTGTGAGGGGTTCTGCGCCCATGATGAGAAAACCAACGGTTCAGGTCAAGCCTTCCTGGAGCATTCTCTACAACCTGCTGCTCTTCAACAGGATGCGGTGACACTAAGCTCAAGCCAGTCCTCCCTTGTGGACAGTGCTGTTCATTTGTGCACGCATTTAATTTACGTATTTATTAAAGGTCTACATCAAGCAAGGAATAGTTCTAGGCAGCTGTGATACACAGGTGACCAAAACAAATAAAAGTCCCTGCCCTCAAAAAATGTACAACCCAGTGAGAGACACAGACAACGAGGAAAACAAAATGTAAAATATATATCATATTAAACAGTGTCAAGTTGTAGGAGAACAAGTCAAAGTAGAGAACCAGGATCTTACAATGTCAGCAAGGGGTTGAAATTCTACATTTGGGTGGCTCAGGAATGAGACTGAGTGAAGAAGATGAAGGCATGTGGCCTGCAAAGGCATAAGGCCAGCAACCCCAGCATGAGAGAGCACAATCAGACACCCGAAGGCAGGATCTCAATTCATTCTCACAGCAGTGACGTGGGAGCATAAAGCTGGGGGCCAGTAAGTGAGGAGGAGGACAGTCTCATCCCAAGAGATTGGAAAAAAGAGGGCAGGTGAGAATAGCAACACTGATCGCCACAGCAGACTCAGCTTTTGTTCTGAGTAAGAAGAAAAGCCATCTCAGGCATCTAAACAGAGGAGTGACTTGTCCAACTTACTTTTGCTTTTAAAAAAACAAAAGCTCACTGTAATCTCAAACTCCTGGGCTTAAACGATCCGCACACCTTAGCTTCCACGGTAGTTGGGGCTAAAGGTATGCACCACCAGGCCTGGTTAATTAAAAAAAAAAAATTGTGGAGGCAGGGGTCTCACTATGGTGCCCAAATTAGTTTCAAACTCCAGGGCTCAAGGAATCCTCCTGCCTGGAAGTCCCAACGTCCTGGGATTTCAGGTGTGAGCCACCACACTAGCCTCAATTTCCAGTTCAATAGCACTCCTGTCTGCTTTTGAGAGAGATATATATCAATCCATCAACTGTCTCTTGGAATAATCCAGTCAAAGATGACAGTGACCTGGACAAGGGCTAGCAGTAAAACGTGGTCAGAATTGGAATACATATTTGTGATTAGAGCCAACCAAATTTCTATATTGATTGGTGATGGAGTCTGAAAGAGGAATCAAAGAAAGGATCAATTTTTGGCTTGGGAGAAACTGAGCTGCTTAGAAGGCCATTTGTCTGGGACATGCTCAGGAGGAAGCCTGCAGAACATCCAAGAGGCCTGTGGAACAGGAGGCCAGATCTGCTGAAGGCCGAGACCCACGCTAGAACTACTCTTGCTCAAGTCATCCATTTGCAAGCATCTAATCACGTGAAGAAACACCTTTAAATTAAAAAAAAAGAATGTTTTAAAAACACTGATTGACTTGCAAGTATCTGCAAATGCCTGATACAGTTCAACTTAAAATCCGTTTTGGTGTAAAAGGAGCAACGCAGCAGGAATGCCTACACCCTAGCTACGTTCCAGCTGAAAAACATAATTCTCATTTTAACATTATTTCAAAATAAATTCTGGTACACTAAACACTATATAACAAAGGCTTAATTCGTCAGTCCTTTAGGTTTTAGCACTATAAAATTCAATTTGCCAGTCATGGGAGATGATCTGACTGATCTATTACAGTACATACAGCTGGCCTTCGAACAGCATGAGTCTGAGCTGCACGAGTCCACTTATGCCACGATGTTCTTCCACCTCTGCCATGCTTGATGCAGTCTCTCCTCTCCTTCTACTCCTCAGCCTACATAATGTGATGATAAAGAGGATGAAGTCCTTTATGATGAGCCACTGCCACTTAATGAATACTAAATATACATATTTTCTAAATATACATACTTAAGATTATCTTAAGATTGTCTCCAACTTATTTTACTGTAAGAATACAGTATATAATACATATACAGAATGTGTTAATCTACAATTCATGTTATTGGTAAGGCTTCTGATTGACAGTAGGCTATTAGACACATTTTTGAGGAGTCAAAACTTAAACTTGGATATTTTAATGCGTGGGGGTTTGGCTGTGTTTCTCTTGTGCCAAATAGGTTCCTATGGATGACTGTTCCTCAGGATGACAATAGAAATGTTACCAAAAAAGTAGAGGTAGGAGGAATTTTCAAAAAAATTTGGGTAACACTCAGTTAAAAGAGTCAAATTGTATAGACTTCTTAGTCATGTGACTCCCAGTTCAAATGATTGTTCCACCTCAGCCTCCCAAGTAGCTGGGATTACAAATGCCCAGCACCATGCCCAGCTAATTTTTGTATTTTTAGTAGAGACAGGGATTCACCACGTTTGCCAGGCTGATCTCGAACTCCCAGCATCAGGTGATTCGCCCGCCTCGGCCTCCCAGAGTGCTGTGATTACAGGTGTGAGCCACTGCACCCAGCCAATTGTAACTATTATAAGAGGAATTATTATAGGAGAAATAGGAAAACACTAGAAGACGAAGATTCTGGATTCAAAGAGATATGCTGCAAGAGAACACCTTTTGCACTACAGACATATACCGAACAATGAACAGGATATGAAGGTGCAAAGATGAACCAAATGTAGTCTCTATATTCAAAAGGTTTAAAATACAGGTCATGAAAACAGATATCTAAAAAGATAATGTCAGCAGTAAGAAATAAGACAAATGTCTAAAAAG